GCATCAAAATATCATATATTTAATTGTTATTTAATAGACATTTTTTATAAAGGCTATTTAGAAAAGACATCTCAATTATAAAGGATCACGTTAGTAATTTTTTATTGTGGAAAGTTTGATCAAGCGGACCACCTAAGATCAGTTCAGTGCAGGTTCTCGCCCCACAAACAGCACGAATCAGTTGCTCAGGCTGATGCTTACTACCAGGGGGGATTTAGTTCACACCAAAATGAACTGCTCCTATCCTGTGAATCTTGTACATGTGCACATCTGACATCCTAGTGCCCTTACAACGAAAGCCTAATGAAGGAACGACCTCATGAACAACAACAACAACTAAAACAACCAGCGTGGGACCGACTTCAACAACCAAGGGGGAAATAATCAACCATATGTTCCCCCACACCAAAGGCAAGCCGAGGATTCCAATGCAGAATTGAAGAGGATGATGGAAGAGAAAGATAAGAAGAACAAGGAAAGACTCCAAAGGTTGGAGGAATCACTACACTGTTAGACAAGGCGTGCAACTCTAGAGGGGGGGTGAATAGAATTGTTGAGAATGTTTACCGATTTTCGCAGGATTAAATAAGATAAACGAAAGTGCAGCGGAAATAAAAGAGAGAAGACAAAGAACACACCGATGTATACTGGTTCACCACCTCGTGGCTAGTCCAGTTCCCCGAGAGACTCTCTCGAAGCTACCACTACTTCCGTTAAGCTTACGGGTGCTTAACAAACCGTTTACAACTCGAGAACTTGAATCCCACAAGCCTCGACACAACCGCTCGTAGATATGCCCTCTACAAGACTTCACAACCAAGACTTAAGTCACATAGGTCTTATACAACAAGAAGAACAATCTTCTTCAACCTCTCAACAGTAGCTCTCAAAAGAGTAGATAAGAGAAATGATTAAAGCTCTAATGGATGACAAGAAACCTCTCTTAAAAACAAATATTTTCTCTCAAAATAATATAAATTTGAGGAAGGATTGATTGAGGATTAACACCTCAAGAATGGGGAGTGTTGGAGTGTTTCTTGTTTAGAAAATTGACTAAGGAAGGATGCTTAAATAGGAGGTGAAGAAATATATATCCGTTGGTCCAAGAAAAGAAGCTGTGCAGAAAAGATGCAGCATAATAATCGATTAATGCAGTGCCAATAATCGATTAATGCATCATCAGCAACGATTAATGCAGCTGAAGGAAAATCGATTAAATTAAAGGGATTAATCGATTAGAAGGGTCTGTGTGAACTAATCGATTAAAGGTAAGAGGAAAATCGATTACACACAAGACCTAAGCAATCCAACGCAACAAGCAACTAATCGATTAAACAAGGAGGAAAAATCGATTAATTAAATGTGCTGAACAATAATCAATTAAACAAAGAAGTATAATCGATTAAAAGAATAAATCATGCGCAAACACAAAGGGCCCAAGCCAGTTGCGATGGAGAGCAGAATTGGCGTAACACTCGTTGTTTGAGACAACGGGAATCAGAGAACGCTCCTTCTCTTATTCAATGAATTTGAATAATGGAGTAAAAAGTGAGTCCCAAAATTATTTTGTGTGTCAAACGATGAACACGAAAATATTTGATTAAAATATTTTTGCTTTCCAAAAATATTTTCTAATATCAAAATGAATATTTTGATAAATGTTTGAAACACTTTTTGTAACTGACTCAATAAATGTATTTTGCACAGTTAAAAAGATTTTTCAACTGACTCCAAAAATAAATATAATTTCTATTTTAACTCTCATAAAAAATAATTTTGGAGAGAAGATATTTTTGTCATCCTTACAAATGTTCCTACGACTCAAATAAATAAAAAGTCTTCGGAAATCTTCTACTCCTCCGAGTCCTCCGCTAGGCGCTCCGAACGCGTCTCGGACTCCAATAAAATTCTGTGCACCTTCTTGAATACTTCAAGGAATGGCACTTCAAGTCTTCGTGTTTGTCGATGTAGCACTTTGATCTTGACATGAATAAATTGTGTTTGTCAATTATCAAAACCTGTGAGTTAACACTTAACAACACAGAAAAGGTTGAACTCATGCATTCCAACAATTTCCCCCTTTTTGATAATGACAAACACATGGAGGATATGTTACCAACAAATAACTAATTAACGCATATACTCCTATACTCTTCCCCCTTTTGGCATTATCAAAAATAATGCAACAAAAGAACTCATGCATTCAGGGGAGAAAAAAAATTTCTAAACAATTAAAAAAAATCACATTCCCCCTAAAATCATGCATTTCTAAGAAATAAAAAAACTTCCCCCTTAATGTATGCTATCTACCCCTTAAAAAAGACATGCAACAAGATTAACACATATAGCAATAAATTTCCCCTTACTATATGCAAAACATCCTATGTATATTCCCCAAACAAATTCATATAAATCTCAAAGATAACATTTAATTAAAAAAAAGAATTTACTCCCCTTTGATGCAATCTCTTTGGCTAAGTGCTTGGAGCATCCACTACAAATTTGTAGTCTTCAAGCATGCCTTTCAAGTGCGTCACGTGCCCGACCACCCATCTTGTTCTTCAAGAGCGATGAGGCAATCGTCTTTGGAAGGTTCATCATACTTCCACGAAAAATAAGCAAATTCATCTTGTTTGCTCATTTTCTTGAGCTTCGGGCACTCAAATTTTCGGTGGCCAAGCTTTCCGCACTTATGACACCTTGGGGTGTTTTTCTTCTTGCTCTTGTTTAGCTCATGTTTCAAAAACTCGTTAAAACATTCAACCAAAATATCACAAGAAGTGCTAGAATCGTTATCACTATCACTATCCGAATCCGAATCATCAATCTCTACTTTTTGAGAAGAAGATGCTTTAAAAGCAATTCCCGTTCTCTTCTTAACATCAAGAGTATGAGAAAGATGATTTGTTTCGTAAGTGATAAGGTTACCTCGAAGACCGTCGTATGTGATGACGTTGTAATCTCGGCCTTCGTAAATGGAGTTTACCTTTGACTCCCNCGTCTTTGGAAGGTTCATCATACTTCCACGAAAAATAAGCAAATTCATCTTGTTTGCTCATTTTCTTGAGCTTCGGGCACTCAAATTTTCGGTGGCCAAGCTTTCCGCACTTATGACACCTTGGGGTGTTTTTCTTCTTGCTCTTGTTTAGCTCATGTTTCAAAAACTCGTTAAAACATTCAACCAAAATATCACAAGAAGTGCTAGAATCGTTATCACTATCACTATCCGAATCCGAATCATCAATCTCTACTTTTTGAGAAGAAGATGCTTTAAAAGCAATTCCCGTTCTCTTCTTAACATCAAGAGTATGAGAAAGATGACTTGTTTCGTAAGTGATAAGGTTACCTCGAAGACCGTCGTATGTGATGACGTTGTAATCCCGGCCTTCGTAAATGGAGTTTACCTTTGACTCCCATTCCTTGCTAAGACTTCGCAGGATTTTCCTCACTAACTCCTTGTCGGTGAGCGTCTTTCCAAGCATATCAAGGTCGTTGACGATGTTTGAAAATCTTCCAAACATGTCCTCCACAAAAAGCGTTATGAATACTTAGAAATGTGTGTGTCTAGATATATCTGCTGCTGGAAGAGAGAGATTTTACCAATTGGACGAGTTGGATGAGTAGAGAGCGCTGGCTTTCAACAACAACTTGCTATACAAGGAGCATTTCAAGAGATATCGTGATGTGCATATCAAACACTCCAAGGAGTTCCATGAAGGGGACAAAGTTTTTCTGTTTAATTCTCGGTTGAGGTTGTTTCATGGGAAACTGAAGTCTTGTTGGTTTGGTGTGTTTGAAGTTGAGAAGGTCTACCCATATAGAATGGTAGAAATTCGAGGAAGGAATGGTGAATTCAAAGTCAACGGTCATCGCCTGAAGAAGTTTGAAGGAGGGGATGTCTCCTGAGAAAAGATAGCAATGTACCTCCACGCCTTGGAGGATTAAAGAAGGAAAAAAGCGTCCAGCTAATGACGTTAAAAAAGTTCTGAACGGGAGGCAACCCTTCTTCATCATGAAAGAACGAAAAAAAATTTAAAAAAATGCTTTTGCATTTGTGTGTTAAGAGTGATCTCTGTACCATTTACAAAATGAATGTCTAAGCTGGAATGGTACTAAAGTGGATGCAAAAGGTGACACCTCTGGGAGCCGAACTTGTCCCACCATTCTTACTAGGTCAATTTGTAGAAAGGTTTATTAGGGTGAGCCTAAGACCACCTAATTGGCAACATTATGCCCAATCCTAAATACTCTGAATTGGTTTAGTTACCATTTTTGATACACTTAACAATAAAAAACAAAGAACAAAAGAAAAAGTGACTACTTGTCACACGAGATTTGGGGCAAGCTTAACATGTTTGTTCATTTTTATGCAGATGGCAGAGTAGACAACGAATGGACTTTTTCTCCTTTTTCTACCCTTGAGGCACGCGACAAATATCAGGAATGGGGTAGCATGAAGACTCTGACCGCCCTGAGGCTGCTAGATTAAATGGTACTCAACGATATTGGGTACCAGGAGGAGATCAATGCCTTCCTCAATGACCTCAAATGGAGGCACTTTCTAGCACTTCGTACACCCACTAGCGTGCCATTGACTATCAAGTATCTCTACTCCTTGAGGTTTAGTTCCTACTGCACTCGAGTTAGAGATGTGGAGGAAGTGCACCCCTCTGTGCGGATGAGTTTCACGCTTCTGAGAGCAAGGTTTAACATCCCCTTCCTTGATTTTGGACACCCGTTAGGAATTTAGACGTATAAGGAGACGCGCTCCCCCGACATTCTCATACTGTCACGCTGACTTCCCTTAGAGGTTGACGTGAATGCATTTCGGAGGACTCACTCACGTAGAACCCAACCCTTTGGCAACAAATCTCGTTCATCTACTAACTAGAGGAGTCTGACGTGGCGGATACTCAGCCATATACTCTGCTGCAGCTACTTCGGGCATCACCGCAATGCCAATAGAGTCTATGATACTTATTTGATATTCTTCTAGAGCTTAGAGAGCCATACATATATGGATTTGTCTACTTTTTTTGGGTGTTTTCTGTTTGACCAGTCAACAGGAAACCCTCATCACATCCAGGAAGGCCCTATCCTTACTTTATTGACACGAGCCCTAGTTCCTGCCTTCGTCATCCTTGTCATTCTCTAGAGTATTCTAGCGTGCGGCCGATCATTATTGAGTCCCTTGTTCACATGGGATTCAGGAAGAGACGTCGCGATATCGCATACGAGACAGACCAGAGCATGAGCAACCCTTCATACAAGCTCGAGAGGATGTCAGCATATGGTGCCTTTTCCTCCACAGTCTACCCTCCACTGCCCACCACTTTTAACGAGCTGGCTCATGCTTTTGCTTATTTGCGGACATCAATTGACATGTGCTTTAGTGATATGAGCAGCAGTGGACCTCTTATGAGCAGGCTTAGGAGATCCTCTGGAAGGCTATCCAGGAACATCAGCAGAGCGTGGAGGACAACTTATCACAGCAAGGCAAGCATATCGCTCAGATTCTCGATTCTCGATTTCTTGGAGGAGCAATATGGAGCTCGTGACTCCACTAGCTAGGCAAGGCAAATACATGGGCCGTGGGCAGTGAGCCATCCTTTTTGAACTAATATGCTTCTACTATTTTGATTGTTTGATTTAAGATTGGTTGGAATTTCAGTTTGTTTTGAACTCACTTTTTGTAAACTATTTTTATCTTAATTTAGTTTTATTTACATAATCATTTGGTTTAACTTTAAGTGTGAGGACAACTACTTAGTATTTGCATGTGAGTATTTCCACCATAACTTTAGTTTCTAATCACTTTAAAACCTGCGAGGGTGCGGTTTAGCTTAAGTGTGAGGAGAAAAAATTATGGTTGAAACACTTTTTAGGAAGTTTAGTACATCTTTATATTTATAGGAAAATTATATAAACAATCATGAACCTCAGTTTTCTAGGAAAAACCAATTATCGAAAAAATTAGAAAAGTTTAAATTTCTATCAAACTTGGATTTTTGTACAAGTTTTTAGGAATTTTTTGTATAAATTGGTGGATTTAGGTCTATATTAGTAGAATTAATATCATGTTCTCCAACTTGTCAATAAAAATGGTTTTTACACAAAAATATTTTGTAAGGTCAAATAATTCTTAATTATTTTATTAAAAATATTTTTAGATACTGCTCTGCTATTTTTCAAAATATGAGAACTTATTGTTTCTTAAAAAGTTTTATTTCAAAAAATATAATATAAAAAATGACACATTTAGGTGAAAATGAGTTCTCAAGTGAAAATTTTAAGTAAAAAAGCATTTGATTCTATATCAATGATGAGACTTATTTTTGGGTGTGTGCCAAAAAACATGCAGTTCTATGTCGTGCGATGAGGCTTTTGAGAGAATGTATTATCCGAAAAGCTCTTTTTTCTATGTCACGGGATGAGGATAGAAAAATCTCCAAAAAAGCTCGTGGTTCTCTGTCATGGGGTGAGGAAGAAATTTTTGTTCTTGTGTCAGCATGACAAAGTGATGTACAAAAAAATCATAATAGTAACTTTTTAAAGAAACAATTTTTTATTTCAAAAGTTAAAAATTCTTTGACCTAGTAAAATTTTAGAGTAATAGGAAAAAATTTTATTTTAAATTTAGAGAACATTGATTTTAGTAATACTAATTTTTCTAAATTTTGGTCATGGAAACTTGGGTTGATTAAATTTGAACAAAAGTAAAGGGTTGCCAAAAGATTTTATTTTCTAACAATGTGGATAAAGATAATTTTTAGAAAATTAGATTGAAAATTGTCTAATATCTTGTTCCTATAAATAGATTGTGTAAAATACTTCCCATTAATATGTTAAGTTGTCATAATTTTTTTAGTTGTTCAGTTTGTTGCTTGAGGGCAAATACCGTTTAAGTGTGATGGATTTGACAAGTACATTTTGTTCTTATTATTTACTCATATTTAAATATTTTTGTGTGTAAATAAAGTTAATTTAGGATAAAACTATTGATTTTCTTTTTTAAATAATTCAAAGTTGCCATTTTTTAATAAAAAGTGTCTTCAAAACAAATTTGAAAATTTCAAAAAAAAAACTAGGCCAAACAGAACAAAACAAATTTTTCGGGATACTTAGGCTCGAATTTGTTAGAGACCGCATATAGGAAAAGTGTTCAACATAAAATATTGTACTCGCCACAAATTTGAAGCCAAAAATTGTAGGTTGGCTGGGGGGATGCGCACCCCTGACCCAGCCTTGGGCTTTAATGGTTTGAAATGCTAGCTGGCCTCAACTTTTGAAAGAATATTCGCATATTCCCGCCCGGGGCACACCCAAGAGGCTGCCCGACTTCCCGCTAGGAAATATTGATGTTAGCTGTGACATCAGAATGGCGGTTTTGCAATACTAGCGGAGAAAGCAATGGTCCGAGGTTGGGGGGACCTGCCGGGCGCACACCCGGGGCCCTGCTCCGAAATTCTGAACTCTATATAAGCAGTGACTCGGCGAAGATCTTCATCATCAATCCTTCAAGCTTCTGTCTTCTCTCTCTAATAAGCCTTTAGGCAAAAATTTTCTTAAGTTTTTAGTTTTAAAATTTTGGAGTTCAGTTCCAGATCTCTTCAATTCCGCTTTTATGGAAATTTTAAGTTTTCTATGATTGTTTTATAAAAATGTTTTGTTATTCAATTTATATATTTTTTATCATTATCATGTCTGTTAAAATATTTTAGGGATGTGGATTGGATTAGGGTAGTAGGTATGTAGAAATATAATTATGTTGGAGTATTAAATTTAATTAATTAAAATGCTAAGATATAGTAATTGTTGTGATGTTCTAATTAATTAATCTAGCCAATTTTTTTATTTTTCGTTCAAATTTTTTTCTCTCGTATTCCCGTTGTAATTTTATTTTATTTATTGTATTAAAAAAGTTCTGTTGTTTGAATATATATTTAAACTACTTTATCTACAAAACAAAAAAAACAAACATAAAATAAAAAAATAAAAAAATGTGTTCAAGTCCCGTCAAGCCCCCCGCCATAATGCCCTTTCATGTGATGGGGGTCAAGCCACATGGCACCTACATGGGGGTGGTCAATCTCTTATTAAGCCACCATGATAACACATGACCTAATTTGAATTTTGATATAAAAAAATACTAACCATATGCTGGCCAACAATGAAAAGAATTGATTTCTTGCCTTTCCATAACATAACAGCTTACGTGGAGAAAGAATATACTCCATTTCATCAATTCACTAGCCTTCTTCGGTTGTTTAATTGAACTTTAATTTGGTTCTCTTTCATAATATATGTTCGGTGTCTCTCTCTCTCTGATCTTATATATCTTCCTCGATCCATCGGTTTCTAACAGCTTAATTACTTGGAGAAAGAATATAATATAACACCGGAATTTAATAATTTTGGTGAGGAAATAATTAAAGTAAAGCTTATTCGATCGATGGGTTTCATTGTTTGTGTCTCCATGGGAGCTGCATTGGGCATTGGATTGGTAGCTTTCTTTGCGAGATTTCAGAAAACGAAGTCTAAGAAACGCACTGAGTTGGTATGGCATCTTTATATCCCAACTGCAAAGTTAAACAGGCTACCCACAGTTGGATACCATCAAATTTTATTCAATTTGTTTATTTATTTATTTTAGTCATTTGATAATATAAATAATTTTTTGTGCGAGAAATTAATTTCTTTTATCTTTAAACTATCTATCAACTGTAATGCATATATGCTTGTCAGGCAAATCTAGTTGCAGCATTTGCAAGAATGACAATTGAAGATTCAAGAAAAGTATTTGCCGCAGAAGCATACCCAACTTGGATTGTATTCTCACAAAGACAAAAGTTGAGTTTTGAAATATATCCATCTAAAAGTCTCTCTTTTCTTCTCTTTCTTGACCTAAGAATGTCCTTTTTAATTTGTTTCTATTTAAAAATTACTTTTATTCCTACTAGTTACTCCATAGCATAATAGTTGAAACAAGAAAGAGATTTAGGAACAGAGGTAGTATACAATATTCATGCTTTGCTTTAATTTTAAATCCATAAAAGAGTTTTTTATGTGTGTAATTAATCTCTAAAATCTTCAAAAATTAAACAGATTCCTCCTAAGCTTTAAAAACTACATCGATTGATTCATGGAAATGTTGAATCAATGGTCATTCTGTACTATGTCTCACAGTGTATTAATCACACGTTTATCATTATACATGTTGAAATTTGATGAAGAGGTTGATCGATTGATAAAAAACTAATGCTCGAGCTTTGAGTCCAGTTACCGACAACTAAAGATAAAATAATTGTCTAGTATTTGTCCAGTTTTGACTCTTTCAGTCAATCATTTTCAACCTTTGATCTATAATTAAATGAAATATATATTGTATATTAATTAGATAAAATAATATTTAGAAAATGATTGATATTACTCCGTATAAATCTAATAAAACTACTTTTTATCATTTTTATGTAATTTGAGGTCAAAGTTTACTAATTTTGATCGAAAAAAGTCAAAAGTGGACAAATACTCAGGGACAGTGGGATTAATATTTAGGAAAAAAATTGCAAAAAAGTACTTCCTCCATTTCAATAAACCCTTCCTCTTTCGTTTTTTCCATTTTCCTAAAATACTTCCACTTTCTATAAAAAAACTCACTTTTCCTCTACTTTTTCATACCTTACATATAACATCATACTTTTTCAGTAATAATCCAACTATCACATCTTACTTTTATCCATCACATCAGAGCAAAATTGAAAAGTCAACTATAATGTATTTCCCTTATTTTGGCTAAAAGTCAAAAGGGGAAGTGTTTATCAAAACGGAGAGAGTATAATATATGGTTTAGGTGAAGCCATACTTGACTAGACGAGTATGTAATTAATGCACACCCAAATTTGGCACAGAGAAACCATTGACGCAATATTTTTAAATGTTTAAGTAAAATTTGCACATTTTTTGAAAAATTTGGGAGAAAATTGCGCAAAAAAACTCATTTATAAAATAATACGGAATAACACCATTGGAGTGTTTTATTTGGTACGTTTATAATTATTGAGTGCAGGTTGAGCCGGGGGTCTCTTGGAAACAGCCTCCCTACTTCCGAGTAGGGGCAAGGTCTGTGTACATAAACTCTCCCCAGACCTTACTGTAGTGGGATTCAACTGGGTTGTTGTTGTTGTTGTTTATAATTATTGAAGTCTCTTCGATCTCTTGATTTCTTAATTGCAGTTAGATTGACTTAATCATCATCTTGAGAAATTATGGCCGTATATTGACAAGGTAATCCGGTTCTTTAAATTTCATATTTTCTAAGAAATATTTGCACTAAATAGTACTAAAAACATAAGTCATTTCTCAATGTAAGACTTAATTTTTTTTATTTCTTAAATAGCACTTAATAATATCTAGAAGGAGGAATAACGTCCAGTGATGGTGAATATTTACTTGAATAATGACTAATGGATAATGACTAAAAGTGCTACATTGAAAAAAAATATATGATTCTATTTAGTGCTATTTAGGTAAACTCATATGATGCTATTTTTACCCATCACATGTAATGACATTTTCAGAAAGTCAACAGTAAAATACGCTCTCCTTAAATTCTTTAAAAGTCAAAAGCAGAAAGATTTTGTAGGACGGAGAGTAATGATTTTAGCAATGTATAAGTTCATGATTACCACTGGAAATATGTTTCAAATTTTATTTCAAATAAAAATAACATGAAACTTCTATTTTGGTATATTTTTAATATTTTACTCATACTTTAGTTTTTTCCCTATATAATAGTGTAAACATTACTAAATTATGTCATATGGAGTATTAAATAAAATTACTCCGTGTAAAATATATTAAACCTGTTTAATAAAATTACTCCGTGTAAAACAAATTAAAATATATTACCCCTGTTTATGAATAACTGTCCAATTTAATTTTGAATTCTTACAGTCAGCAATTTTCATCCTTAGCTTTGAGTTTAAGTTATATACTCCATAGAAATTATATGGTATATTAAATTGATAAAATAATATTTGTAAATATCATACTCCATTTAAAATAAATCTAATAAATTTAGTTTTTATACCAATATCCAATACCCCCTCCTTTAAGTTTATTTTTTTAGTTTGACTTTTTTAAGTCAAACATGATGAATTTTAATATTCAATTAAACAAAAATCGTAATGTATATTCTTATAAAATGGTTTTAATGGATTTGATATGTTGAGAACTTTCACAATTTTATTTCATTCTACTAATTAATATGCAATACAATTTGAAAATAATTGAAACTCAAATTTTGACCAATTTGATTCAAAAAAGTTAAACTGAATAAATATACTAGGACAAAACTAGTACCAAATTTATTTAATTAGTAGTTAAAATTTATCAATTGTAATTGGTAAAGATCAAAACTAAACAAATACTAAAAAAGATAGATAATAAATATAGTACATAGTTCATACGCATGAATCCATCTTATGTATTCATGAAAATTCCTTATATAGCATATAGATAAATTCACGTGGGAAAACTAACTTGGTCTAGTTAGCACTTGGACAAACAGATCTAGTATCTTAATATCTCTTGTAATAAACTCAATTCAGTCCACATACGAGTAGTTCTTATCGCTTAGATTTATGAAAAAAATAAATTGTATTATGATATAAATTAAATATCAATATATTCTAATGAGAGGTTTGAAATATCAAATTTTTAAAATGATCTATGTATAAATATACATACATACATACATACATACATACATACATACATACATACATATATTAATGGTCAAAGTGAAATATTGAAGATCATGTAAAGTCAAATATAATAGAAAGAACATTTTCGGACATAGAGAATTTATATTAACAAGCCCTTTCTTCCTGCATGGGAGAACACTTGCTACCCAACAAGCAGCACGGTTGTTAATTCTTTTATTACTTGATGATGAAGTGAAGGCGGGATCAGAATTAATTAGAGCAAATGTGGAGCCAACCCTTGAAGAGCACAGGTCCCGCCTAATACAAGATTTGAAGTTTTCAAAGCTCACATTGGGTATCGTCCCTCCACAATTCACGGTTAAGGGTTTATTTTCTTCAACTTATTTGATTCGACCTGATCTGGTACAATCAAGTTCTAACCTTTTCTGATCTGATTGTGTTTATATTTAAAATTGGAACTAAAATGATTTGATATTATTCTACTAAGGATAAGTAGAAGTAAAATGAATAAATTGAAGAAAACAAACTCTAAGTGGACTGCCAATTTACTTTAAAATGTGATCCTTGTGGCAACTGCAATGGCATATTTAAGATTTGGGTTTGATGGGAGCCGAGAGGCGAGGGTTCTAGGGCAGCGCTCCACGATTCAAACAAATACCTGAATATAATATATAGAACTTACCAAAATTAATGCCATCTAGAATATACTCCATAAATACAAAATTAAAATTTATGAAATCAGGATTAAAACAATTGAAATCAAACCAAAATTTACTCCTTATTATGCACATGAAACCGGCCAAAATTAAACCAAACCACAATAAACACAATTATCAGTAAATAAAAAGGGATAGCAATGCTGCTTAGCAGCGTTAGAATAATCGGTAAACAAAAAATGGGAAGAAATTTTGTAATGCCTATAAAGTGGTTAACACATAAATAGTTATTTTTGCTACTTTGTATGAACTATTGCATCTTATCATGAAAGATTTGAATGCTTGTGATCAAACATTAGAATGTATGATTTTTTATATTATCTACATTATTTTGAACTCCATTTATGAAAATACAAAGGATTTTGATAGAATTTAGAATGGGTATGGATAACTGGATTGAGTAATAATATAATTGGGTTGAACCACATTTAAAGATTGAATCCAATCGATTAGTTAGTTTAACTCAAGAGTTTATATACCGATTATTTTTACTCATGACTTCCGATGTGGGATGCACTATAACACTCCCCCTCAAGTGGACAACCGGGCCATTTTGAATTTAGTATAAACTTCCAGACAAGCAATCGTTTTAAATAGGCAAAGGCCGTTGGGCACATACTCCATACGGACAACTGGGCTAAAGACATACAGGCCGCTAGGAATGAATGTCTAGACGGACACCTTAACAAACGAGGTGGACCAAAACCTGCTCCGATACCATGATAGAATTTAGGATGTGTATGGATAACTGGATTGAGTAATAAAATAATTGGGTTGAATCACATTAAAAGATTGAATCCAATCGATTAGTTAGTTTAACTCAAGAGCTTATATACCGATTATTTTTACTCATGACTTCCGATGTGGGATGCACTATAACAGATTTCATAAAGTAACTATGTCCAAAATAAAAATTTTATGTTAGAGTATAAAACCATTCATGGGCTTACAGCCACAAGCTTGAACTTTTTGTTCAGTTAGTTCCTTGACATTGTATTATAGCCTTGCTGACTTAGGGTTCAACATTTTAATCCTCACCGCCATCTAGTTTAAAAATTAATTAACTTACACATGTAAATGTGTAATGCTTGAGAAAAATGTAAATCTCGTCTGCACGTGGGGTGTGCTAGAGTATAAAACCTTTCAGAGGCCTATGTTAAATCCAGAAGAACATGAAGAACGAAAAACAACACAACTTTTTATTGATCCAAAAGTGGTTTGTGACTTATAGAGGAGATGTATATAAAGGAAGGGGAAAATAAGGATAGCTGGATATTGAGGACAAATGTCAAGAACTATATACTAACAAACGAAGAAACTAAAATGAAATAAAATAACCAAATGTTGACCAAATGTCAAAATTTATCTTTACACCCCCCTCAAGTTGGAGCTGATAGAAGGCTCAATTGGACAAACATGGAAGTATGTTGTGAAGCACCTAGAGCCTTTGTCATAATATCTGCAAGCTAATGTTGAGTAGGAACAAAAAGAAAAGAATCCAAAAGAAGATTAAGAACGAAAAGAAAATGAAGTGTTTATTGATCCAAAAGTGATTTGCATCTTAAAGAGGAAAAAGGTATATAAAAGAAGGAGAGAATAGGGACAACTGGCACGAGAAGACAACTGTTAAGAACTAACTACTAATTAACAAACTAAATAGAAATGAAATAACCAAATGTCAATAAATATCTCTACAGTCTACAACTCCAAACATGAACTTCTGGTTGAGTCGGTTCTTTGACCTTTCCAAAAAATATTATTACTTTTAGGTCTCCATTAAACAATAAAGTAGAGTGAGAAGTTAGTTAATAATATGAGACGCCAATGTAGTAATTTTATAAAATAAAAAAGCCTCATTTTGAACATTAAATTGTATGCAATTATATCAAATGTTTTAGGAAACAAGATCTAGCATAGTGATCACTATGACAGATAAAACATGACAAATGAGTATATATACTCCCTCCATGCAAATCAAACTTTAGAGTTTGTCTTAATGGATTGGAGTTCTATACAAAAAAATTGTTTAAAAATTAAATACATGTGATTGGAATTTTTATTAGAGAGTGAAAGATTATAAAGCACATATTTCATTAATTAAAAGAAAATGTGCGTGTAATATAAAATTTGTTTTTGGACAACCAAAAATATTAAAACTTTGAAGTATATTTTGGGACGAAGTGAGTATATCACTACAAACAAAAGGTCTTTTTTGTCAATGCCATTTGCCACAAAAATGTTTCTTGACAAGGTTAATTTCTTTTTGTGACATGATAATGTGTGGCTCTTAAATTTTACACTACAAGAAAACTGTCAATCTGCCACGGACAATTTCTGTTGCAAAATTTGAAATTCCGTGGCAGATTTAGAATCTGCAACGGACCTGCAACGAAAATATTCTGTCGCAGAAAACTTGTGGCAGATTTAAAATCTACGACGGAACTGAAAATCCGTGGCAGATCTGCAACGGACCTGCAACGGGTTCGTCTATTTTTGCAACCCAAAAAATCTGCGACGGAAGTCTACACACCGTTGTAGATCTGCGACGAAATCAGCAACGTACTACTCCGTTGCAGACCACCTGATCGCAGCCACTAGTTTTTTCTATTTTTTAGCAGTAGCTATTAAAATTGGGGGCAAAACACATTTAATTTTCACACATAATTCTAAACAAGATATCAATACAAAATACATAATTCAAAACTAGATTAATGAAAACTTCACGTGCAAATGTAACATATGGAGTAATTCATAATATTGTAAAAACACTAAATATTAAAGTGTTAGTGTCAAATCTCAAAGGTGTCAACCCTACACCTCTTGTTCCATCATCATTGCCTCATGTAGGAAGGTTACCACCATATAACTTCCTTATCTCCTCCTAAATCGTGAGCGACAAGCTCGAGGTTAGATTATCAATTTGTTCCTGCAACCTTTGATTTTGCTCTTTAAGTGCTGCTATCTCCGCTGTGCTACTGCTACTAGTGCTGGAACGGCGAGGTTTGGAGGACGGGTTGATCTTCCTCATTTCCCCCTCGTAGTCACCAACTCCACAAATGCAGTTCTTCGCGTTATGGCCCTCGACTAGCGAGTACCATATTTCCTTGTCGGTGACTTTAAGCCCATTCTGTCTAGCCTCCTCGCGGAGTTCGAAGAATTGGGCCTGCAATATATGATAGTTAATAACACGCAATAACAACGTAACAATAATAGTGTTAAGAACAGTAAGAACAACAACATGAACAACATCAACAACAATACAAGAGCAGTGTCATATGACAACAACAACACTATCAACGCAACAACAAAAACAGTGTCATATGACAACAACAACAACAACAACAACAACACAAGAACTTAACAACATTATCATGGATCGATAACAACGTAACATCTAACTAGTGTTGACAGCACCATCAATGCAACAACAAAAGCAATGTCATATGACAACAACACCATCAACGCAACAACAAAAATAGTGTCATACGACAACATCAACACCATCAACATAACAACAATAATAACAACACAATTAACAATAACATAAACAATAAGAATAACGTCACCAAGAACAATTCAATTACACAAGAAAGCGAATACATTATCACCTTTAGAAGTTCTAAGATAAAAACACCAACATTATGAGCATGAACCCAAACTGTTTTGCAAATTACAGAAAGTACCTGTAGCTCAGCATGTCCCGAATCCACCCAAGTCTTGTCGTTGTGCTTCTTTGTCTTTGTGTGGATGATAACCTCATCCAACGGCACAGGCGCCCCTTTCTCCTTAGCCTTCAAGTTTCAATGAACATTTCCATTACATTTTAAAGTTAGTGTCCACTGAATAACAAGTGCAAAGCTATTATTTTATAAAATATATCTTACCAATCGATTCATATTTTCAGAAAATGGAATTGAACCTCCACAATAAGTCCCAAGAGCAGGACCATCCTCTCTTCCCTTTCTTCTATTCTTCTTATTCGTCTTACTCAACTCCAAAAACTTGGATCCTCTTCCCAAACATATAGTTGTATATTTCATAAACATTACTTGTTTACTGATTCTAGTGTATTTTCTATTT